CAGCAAATCAGAGTGCTTCTCAGTGACAAAACACTGTCACAATGAACATATAGAAATTTCAGCTTATAATACATTAGTTGTGAAACTATGACTAAAACAGAACATTTTAAAGAGGAATTGCGGGTAAAAATGATTCCCCAAGGGAAAAAAAATTAAACTTTCCATCCAGCAGAAAAAGATGTTTAAGACTCTTTTCTAGACCCAAGAACATGCTGAAAGGTCAGGTGAGTTTCTGATAATATGACATATAATTACAGTGTTTGGGACTAGGATTAGTAGCTATTATTTCTACAATTGGTATCACCCTTTTTGTCCAGCAACTCCAGAAGGCTTAGATACCATATTTCCCCAAAAATAAGACATCCCCTGATAATAAGCCCAATCAGACTTTTGAGTGAATGTGCTAAAATAAGTCCCCCCTGAAAATAAGCCCTCCCCCAAAAATAAGCCCTCCCCCAAAATATTTAAGCACATGTGCAGCCAGTCCCCGCCATTTCCTCTGATTTCCTCCATGCACCCCAAAATAATAAGACCTCCCCAAAAATAAGACCAAGTGCTTATTTCGGGGTTATTTTTGGGGAAACACAGTAGTAGCATCCCTTCACTTTTTTCCTGAACTAACCCTGCCACACCTGGTTGGGCTAAAAAAAGAACAACTGACCACATTCACACTGAGTGTTCATGGCCAGGAATGAAGTAGAACTTCCCAATACCTTAACTATTATACAAACTGGTACTCACTATGGCCAAAAAAGTATTGTTTTTCAAAACAATATCCTTATAATCAAGCATTACTGCCTACCTAGAACTATGGTTAATAAAATATCATACAGATTGGGCCTAAGATTTTGGCAAAACTCTCATTTGAAATAATGGAAATCAGGATAAATCATCATTCATTTTAATCATTTTTAATCGACCTGAATGGGACAACCCATTTCACTATCCCTGGGAATTTTCCCACGTTTAAATACTGGAATACTGAACAGTCCCAAAATAAAGTAAGTGTGTATTAAGAGTCTCTGCCCTGAAAAATTTAGTCTGAAGTATGTCAGATAAATGCAAATTTTCTCAACAGTTAAAATGGTAGTACTCATACACAGAAATAATTTTAATTACATGGATAAATATGGATCCTGAAGTTCAGTGTAATAATTTGGAACCTATTTTGATATTAGTAGGAAGACAAGAACAGCTTGACACCTGTTCTGTTCTGCTTTTGGGACTTAATTGAAACTCTACTCCCAAATGTTCTCCACTGCTCTGGAGTGCTGTACAGATTAGGGTTAGGGTTATAAAGTGTTATAGCAGTAATACTCCCCTTTTCATTGTTTGCACAAAACATCATGGTAGAAAAGGCAGTCTGAGAGAACAAAAGAACTTACCTTCAAATCAGAATGGCCTGTATAGTCAAAACACTCTAGTTTGCCTAGACCAATCATCTTAAAGGAATCTGATGGAGCAATCATGTTCACGGTAATGGACATGAAATTCATTATGTACACCCTATCCTTTTGCACAACTTCCTTTCAATCTATTTAGGTGGAAGGCAAAAATGTTTCTTGTAATGCTGTAGAACTGACTGTATTGTATTCCCCATCACAAACTTACTTATGATTTTTAAATTATACACAACCCAGAAGATTACAACTATTTCCAGAATGAGTAAAGCTTTGGATGAGGCCCCCAACCAAACTGGGCAGTCTTTGAACACACAATGACTGTCACAAGTCATTAACAATTCAAGTAATTCTGAAATATTAAAAAGATCACATCTTGCTTTTAAGTTCTGCTAGTCAACATATGTTCATTATTCTTCCCAATAATAAACCAACTAAAAAGCTATGATATCAATTAGATTGTAGCCAGCACTGACAGATAAGAGAATAACATTGACACATCCAGAATAACTTCTTGTTTGCTAGCAAATCTTAAAAACAGAAGTGCTTAAGAATGATGTAACCTGAAATGCAGCCCAACAGGATACAGAATGAAAAAAAGTACCTGGGCATGCAGGAACATCAATACCCAAGCTATGGGTTTACAATCCTTCAGTTTTTGTATCATTGTTTCCTATTAGTATTGATATTACTTATCAGATTTATATCCTCCCTTTCCATCCAAAAAAGGTTATTCAAACTAGCCAGTATTACAACAACAGAAATAAAATAAAATAAAATAAAATATAAATGCAAACCTTTAGCTAAACCTACATAAAATAATAAATTTACCTAGCATACTAAAAAGTTAAGCTGTAGCTGTAGTATAGTGCTATTTTCTCTATCAGATATTGAATATTTCATGGAGACAGAAAAAGGCAAATCAATTATTAGAAAAAGTATTAACACTATACTTTTCTTGAGTGGCAAGAATAAGGGGTTACTACACAACACAACATGGTGTGATGGTGCTACAGTTTTCCTCTAAAACATGATTTGTGAAAGCTATATATGAAGCTGTCAATACTTTGGAGATGTTTTACAAAAAGAATTGGCAAAATATAGAGTAAACATATCATAATTTCATCAAGATATATAGACCACTAACCAATTTTTGGTTTTCATTAATTTATTTTATCTTGAATTCATCTGAAAACAGATAGAAAGAAGGCTGCTCTTGACAATTTAGACTTTATATCATCAGTTAAAAAAAAGTTCCTGATTCCAAATCACATTAAAAGCTAACATTGTAGAATAACCAAAGATTTGAAAATTGTTGGAAAGGGATTCTTTTAGAATGCTCAGGCCAAAAAAGGATCACTATTTTCAGCCATTTGATTTCTAATTGTTGTTTCAAATACAGAATTTTGAATGTGATTTATCTAGAACATTTGCTTGGCAACAGAAACATGCATGAATTGTGTGGGATAATTGAGATGCTTTAGCAACTTCAGAGGTACCTGGAAATTTAGGATTTTTAATGCTGAAGGGAAACCAAGAATCCAATGTTATAAGGAATTAAAAATGAAATGAAAATTAGCCTTAGTGATATACTCAAATTGTGGAATGAAGAATTCAAATGTACAATTTTGAAGAACCAATTCATCCAACTGTAAATAAATTTAAAATATACTTATTTAAAAGTGAAATTATCAGAAAATGTGTTGTGTTTATTGAACCTCTCAAATAATGTTTTATAACTGTTGGATTTTTTCCCCCATTCTGGCTTGATAAGGAATTTGAAGGCTCTTCAATACATATAATGTTATCTTGTCCTCAATTTGGTTTCAAATTATTACATAGGTCAATATAAGTTTGGAAATATTTGACCTTAACATGAAGTATATTTCAAAAACACTAATTTTGTCATTTTATAAAGAGCTTTGCTCTATTAAGCCTGGGGCAAAGCCAAGAGGATAATTTTACATAAATGAAACAAAACTTATCTTCTGATTTTAAGGAGTGGATTCAGAGTATGACTCTGTATATTGGTAAAGGCTTTGTAATCTAATTTTTTTTTAAAAAAATGTAGATATTGTCTAGATTTAATAAGCTCAAAGACTAATTTAATTTATGTTCATGTAGATAATATATGGGTCTCATTTTTTTTCTTAATTCATTTCCCCCCCTTTTTTTGTTATGGTTTATTTATCTTAATCATCACAATATATTTAGGTGCTTTTTTCCCTATATATAGCCACCATGTATCTCTCTCTCAATTATAGGTTGTTTTATTTGTTTTCACTATTAATAAAATGTATTTTAAGTTAAAGTCTAAAAAAATTCCTAACTATAATAACTGATCCAGAAATGTGTTTAAAATTCATATCATCAAGAGGTCCCTCTTTATTGCATGCAAAGCTCCCTTGGAGTTATCAATGTATCACAATCTTTAGGAAAGATATTTATTTCCCTGAAAAATCCTTTACTTTTTAGAGAACCAAAATCCACAGTAGTAGAGGCTCATAGTAGGTTGTGAGACTCATAGTAGAAGTAGAAAATCTTCTACTATGAGGCTCGCAACCTATATAAAAATCCATAAAAAAAGGCAGCACGAAAGCAGAAAAAAGTATCAGTTCTGCTACAACCATTTTGATGACCGATCAAAGGTCAATGACTCATGCCTGGGACCCCCAGCAGTCACTAACCCAACTGGACCCACTGCAGTCCTATTTTTCAGAGCTCCTTTCCTATGGTAAGCATACCACCATTTCCTAGACACAGTTATAGGAGGTGAAGAATAAACTCTTATTCATCCATGATCACTCAGAGAAAATATTATGAAAACTATTCAGTCAGGGCACAAGGTGTTAGCAACTTTATTTGGAAGCTTTGTTCCAGAATGTTAGCCTGAACTGCAGCATTACAAGAAAAGCTCTTTCTGACCTCAAAAATAAGGCATAAAGCATGGAGAAGATTTCACTAAATAAATGTCATGAAGCAAGAGAAGCCTGTCCCTTCTACAGCATTTACCATTCTATCTAATCGAATGACAAGGAGGAGACACAATTAAAACGTCATTTTAATGCCCTGGGTACCTGCTCCTTAAAGGGCAAAAGGCACCCGAAGCACTATTTGAAAAGGATGTGTGAGAGAGAAAGACTAAGTTCATACCCTTGTAAATCAGCATCACTGCAACCGGACTCACAGCCCCGAAGGGCAGAAAAACATTCCTGAGCATGTGCAGAGCGCATTCCATTTGCCCAAGGCCCCCTCCGCTTAACACCCATTTGGGGAACGGTTCCCGGATCTAACTGGGATTCCATTTCGGACCCGCTTAAACCTCACACATATTTCCCCATCTTCAAAAAAACAATGGTAAAGGGCATAACTAGCAGCAGTGATGTTTCCACCTTCCCGACTCAGACGCCGCGAACTGGCCGCCGCAACCACATAGCATTCCACCCCGGACGGTTCAAGACGCTTCGGATGCAGGGCAATAAAAACAGCAAGGAAAGGTCGGGTGACTCTGCGGCATATCGCCCCTGCCTCTTGCGCGCGCGCACGTATACACCCATGCACACAAAGCCTCCTTATCTAGCTTCAGACGTGTGCTCTCACCTTCGCTCGCTACCGTGCCACCCAGCCCGCTCCTGAGCGCCCCTCCGGGCAGTAGCAGTAGCAGTAGCGGGAACAGCAACAGCAACGGCGGCGAAGAGGGGAGGCAGGCGGCGAGCATCCTCGCTAGCCACTCGGCTTGCTCCACTCTTGGGACCCACTCGGCGAACAGCCCGCAGCACCTCCGACTGCTTTGGCCGGGCTGCCCTGCCCAGGTCTGTGGAAACGCGGCTGGTCTTCCTTGGCTGGTGATTGCTGTTCTTAGTGCTGCTTCTCTACGGGGTGGGGCAGCACCTCTCCTTCACTGGCCTGAGTCCCTCAAATGCCAAAAACAGAGCTGAAGACTCAGCAGCGCGGGGTGGCGGGGAGATGCGCAGAGCTCCTTCCACAACAGTCCCGCTGCGGCCAACTACCGCCACCTCTTCCTCGCCTCGGCGCGCAGACACCACCAACGGTGGGAGGAGCCAAGGTCAAATAAACCCCGCCCAACTCCTGTTTTCGGTTCACCTCCGGGCCTCGTAAATCATCGCTGCTAAAAAGGTAGCGCTAGGAGTGAGAAAGCGATGAAACGCGATAGAACATCACTTGGGTTTTTTAAAAAAATAAAAAGAGGTACATCGTTGAGCAATTATCTAACCCTTTAAAGTGATATTTACAGCGTCTCACATACTTCTCTTCTTGTAATTCTGCCTCTTTTCTTGTAAATAGGTCACTCCACCCCCAAAATGCGACAAGAAATCGAAGTTGAATAAGAGGGCTCTGTTTAAAGCCGCCTAATGAGTTAATAGCAGAGAAAAGAAAAATTAAGAGCATAGATGCCCTTCTGAAAAAAATTGAAAAGCTCTCTAGTCCAGCCTCACCTTTGATGGAACAACCAGTCCAATGACTGAGTCAACAAGGCCATGAGAGCTCTAGTTTCTGCTCAAATCCTGACCGCATGGTAGTTAAAAGGCATGCTGCTTTCCAGTCAAGAACTTGGTGGGTCTTCTCTAAATCTCTGGTCAATCGTTTCTAGAGCATTGTTCTAGCTCTGTGATGGTGAACCTATGGCACGCATGCTGGAAGTGGCACACAGAGCCATCTCTCCGGGCATGCAAGCCGTTGCCTGTTGCTCTTCTGGTTCCGGCACGCTGACCAACTAGTATTCACATGTGTGGAACACCGGAAACCAGAAGAGCAGCCGCCTGGTGCGCATGCACATGCCAAGAAGATGACCTTCCAGTTTCCGGTGCGTGCATGCGTGCCGGCCACCTGGTTTTTTGATTTCTAGCATGCATGCGCAGACGAAGACCAGCTGGCCAGCTTGGCGGAACCTGGAAGAGCAGCAGGTGATGGCTTGCATGCCCAAATACATGGAGAGGGGATCCAGGCAGTCGCTTCCTAGGGGAGCAGAGCTGATGGCCAGTACGGGCAGGATGGGGCTTTCCTCCCTCACTGCCTGAGCAGGCTTCTTACATGGCCCCAGCCCTCCAGTCCACAACACCAAAGTGCATCCTGGCCGGCTCAGACGCTCCAGAAGAGCAGCAGTAGCAGCCACAGGGTGAGGGGCAGGAGCGACCGGCCCGGCCCCACAGCTGCTCCCCCACCGGTGAGCCAGGACCTCAGCGGCATCTCCATGTGTGAAAACTCTGCTCTTCTCCAGCCCTCCTGGGGCAGCTCACTTCCCTGATGGCTGCTCCTTCTCTTCCTCCAGTATCCCGGCCAGATGTGGCAGAATGAGAACCATCGCTACCCCCTTGCCCCAGCTGAATGCCCAGATCGCCCAATATAAGTTGATGAGTCCAATGTATTCTGGCAGCAGGGCCCTTAAATATCCTATCCTTTAATTGCTTCTATTTGTAAATAGAAATAAACTTCAATTCCACTTGTCAAGCTTAATTTTAATCTGATCCAGGTTAATGCAATTGCTTTTGTTGTTAATGTTGTTCATTGTTAAGTTGTTAACAAATGTTAATGTAATTGTTAATTGTTAATTTCTTACAAAAACTAGCATTCGCAATAGCATATAAAATTTGACAACAAACACTGATTACATTTATATTATATTTGCAAGAATTGTTTATAAATAGTTCCAGATATGAATGATCAAGATCAGAGAATTTGAACTTTTTGTCAAAGCCTTACAAGTTATTGGAAAAGAGAAAAACATACACTTCAACTAGAATGTTCAAAAAAAAAACTATGACATATTAATATTGTAAAAGTACAACTAATATGAAAATTAAGTTGGTGCACAATTGTCTCAGGCATTCTATCCAATATATTCTTCAATAGTTAATCATTAAACTGGCATAAAATATCACGTAAGATGCCACAGAATTTAGTCCTAAGCCCTGAGCTTCAATATTTCTATTAATAATGAGTATTATGTTAATGAAGGTCAGTAGAACATTGCTTAATTAAATAATTAATAATTGTCCTTTATGAAAAGGACAAATCTTGAGCAAGAATTTTGTCCAAGAATCAGTAAAAAACCCGCACATTTAGGCTGATTGCAATGCTCCACCAATAACAAATAATACTCTTTATAAACAATAATATGATACAATTAAACCTTTGGAACTGCATCAGAAAAATGATTGTTGTTGTTTCTGCTGTTGTTTTCACAAGATATATAGATATTGAAACAAATGTTTAAACATCCCTTTTTTTCCCCTCATAGCAGTTCACCCAACTTTTTGGGCACCAGGGACCGGTTCTAATAGCATTCTAACAGTAACAGAGTTGGAAGGGACCCTGGAGGTCATCTAGTCCAACCCCCTGCTCACACAGGAGACCTGTACTAGGCATTCGAACCACTGAACTGCCGACCTTTCTAATCGACAAGCTCAGTTTCTTAGCCACTGAGCCACCTAATCACTTTTCTGTGGAAAAAGGTTGGAGGGGACATGGTTTTGGGTGGTGCTTGCATCCTGCAAATGGGGCTTCACTTGTTTGCCCAGCCCTGTTGCTGGCGTGCCCTGGACCAGGGGTTGGGGACCCTGCATTATAGAACAATTTTCAAGAGAGTGCTGCCATTTCATTTACTGCTTTTTCATACTGTATATGATGGCTGAACATACAGTTCCTCTCTTCCTCACCCCCGTTTTTTTTCATTTCTGAAATATAGTTGAAATAAAAGCTGTTTCACATTTATTTGTGAATCAGCTGAGAAATATTCAATATCTACACCTGATTGGTATGCATAAGTTCAGAATTGTCTTCTAAATTATTTCCCCCTCTCTATTTTTCTTTTAAGTCTTCCCTATGCATATGGTTTACATTCTTCTGTTTCCAACTAATTTAAAACACTTCCCATTTAGTACCATGACTTTATTCCCTTGTCTAAACAAAAAAACAATATCTTACTCATTAATTGCATGGTTGCATAAAATTTTCTACATACAGATTTCCTGCTATATATGAATGCTATTCTTTATCATGACTGTATTATAGTGATTTATAGATGTTGCTAGTAAGAGCTAAGGCTTTCTTCTTGAGATTATTATGAAAGAGCCTTGGTAGCACAGTGGACTAAAGCACTGTTATTAACATCTGCTGCTTGTAATTACTGCAAGTTCAAATCTCACCAGGCTCAAGGTTGATTCAGCCTTCCATCCTTTCAAAGGTAGGTAAAATGAGGACCCAGATTGTGGGGACAATAAGCTGATTTTGTCTAAATATACAAAAGTATGAAGGCTATTGCTTAACGCATTGTAAGCCGCCCTGAGTCTTAAAATGGGCGGCATATAAATTAAAGCAAAAAAAAAAAAAACCCATAGTGGATGTTGTTCTAATCCTCTGCTCTAATGTATGTGTTAATTCCAAATCAGTTGACTCAGCATGGTTTTTAACTCTTGGGATAAAACTGAGATATTCAGAAACACTGTCTTCTATTCAAAATCTTTCATGAAGCATTATGTATGATATTCTTTGAGATTTCCTCCAGGAGAATCTTATGAGTTTTATCCTTAACAGGCTTCAAAAAAACTTGAAGATCTTCCATCTTATACAGGAGGAGGGTGTTGTAGGATTTAAAGATGGGGTTGCAGGCATGGATTTAAAATTCTATATGTAGTGGGGTGTGGGTCTTAAATGTTTGGACAATAAGAACAATTAATCAGTGGAATAGATTGCCTCCTGAAGTTGTGGATGCTTCATCACTGGAGGTTTTAAAAAATGGACTGTATAACCATTTGACTTCAGTGGTATAATATTTCTGCCTTGAGCAGGGGTTGGATCAGAAGACATCTATGATTCCTTACAGCCCTAGGATTCCATGGTTCTATATTAATAAAACGTACAAGCTTTCAGGAAAAACCTATCAGGCAAGCTTCAGCAGTCCATCTGCATTTAAAAGACAAAAGACACTCTTTTGAAGACAGAAAAGTCTACATTTTGGACAGAGAAGACCAATGGTTTGAAAAAGGGATCAAAGAGACCATCTATGTCAAAATTGAACAGCCCTCTCTCAACAGAGGGGAGGGGGATACGACATCTATCTCCAGTTTACTGTGTAGTCCTTTCAGCAGTTCCAAGAAGGCTCCAAACCCATTTGCACTACTCCGGTGGCCCTGAGGAAGCAGATAAACCTCCAAGTGGTCTCAATGACTCTCTAAAAGAATGCAAATGATCAGCTGTCTACAAGGAATATAAATTCTTCCATTATCCACCATCCAGTCAGAGCTGAAGAAGCTTCTTGGAAGAGAAGTGAAACGTCTTCAAAAACAACAACAAGACAGTCCAGTTGCCTCTTGAAAAAAGCACCTTTGGGACATGATGTTTGTAAATTTTACATCATAGTATATTTTTAAGCATGTTTGATATTTAAAGGATATTAAAGGAGTATATTCCAGATCTTCATTTACATTTTCTTCCTTCTGGCTTCTTTAACATTGTCATTGACACTATCACATCATACTGCTAGAGTTTCAAGAATAAACTTTAATGTTAAACGGTCCTTTTATCACCAATGAAAACATGCACTTCACACAGTCAGGTGCATCCACAAGTTCTTTTAAGGAAAATTACTTATCCTTTTATTGTATACTGTAATTTACTATTGTACTATAATTTACTGCTACTAATATTTATAATTAAAGCAATTATTAAATCATAATGTCTAAGAGGACTTGCTTTAGAAATTGCGTTTTCAAATATTTCTGGTACTATGACACTCCCGACAATCTAAATTCCAAGAAATCCTCAAATGGAACATTATGATGTTTGATGAAAAGTCAGAATTAGGAGAATGATTCCTGCGTCATTTAATTCTTTCTGGATAAATGTTAAATAAACTAAAATATACTTACAAATAATTATCATAGCAAATATAGCAAGTACTTATTCATTCCCTGATCAAATGCAAAAAGTAATCTAGTTTGGCTTCTATGAAAAAGCTGATGAAAAAGCTAGTTAGTAAGAGTGGTGTCTTTAGAAGTTGTGGAACAGACAACATT